GCCCTGCATTGGGCTCCCTGTGCAGTGGGAAGTCTGCTTCTCCTTCCCCCTCTGTTCCCCCCCTTGTGCTCGCTCTCTCTCTCTCTCTCTCTCTCTCAAATAAACTTAAAAAAATAATAATAAAATAAATAAAACCTCTTACTAGAGTTCCTTTTGCACCGGTACAATTCATTTGAGGTATGTGTTACTGTTGACCATCTGACAAAGGAAGAGTTTTGATAAGAGTTTCTTTTAAAACTTCAGAGGCTGTTTGCATCATTGGTTCTGTTGCAGCTTAGCCAAAAAGATATTTTGTGCAAATTAGAAACTCTTAACCCTTATGGAAGAATGCATAAAACCCCGTAATACAAGGAATATAGGGAAAATACATGGTACCTTGATAGAAGGGACATACATGTTAGTGTTGTGGTGCATAATCAGCAGCAGGAACCTTTTTTGAATTCAACTAAATAGTCTCTGAATTTTAAAATTAGAGGAATTTTATTTTTAAAATTAAGGAGTTCAGTATTAAAAAGAAATTTGAAATGAAAGGAATTAAATTCAAAATGTGCTGTACTATATTTGCAATATTTTTCTATTTCTTTAGTGTGGTAGTTAGGGTAATTTTAAAATTCTTGCTACAAATAAACATTTTTTTTTTTTCCCAAAAAGAAGTTGAAATTAGCTAACAGTTATTTCAGTGTAATTACTGGACATGAGAAAATACTATTTATGAGAAATTGGGAATAACACGTCAAAAGTGTCATCTTTGATAAACTGAAAATATTTTTCTAACATAGTACTCTTGCATCTCTAAATCAACATTATCCTATGATTATTTGATCCTATTGCTCTTTTTCAACTACTTCCCCACAAAAATGGCCATTAATAAATTATTTAAGGTAAAACCCCTGAGAAATAGAAATCTCTACCAAATTTGGATAGTATTTTTACCTAACGTTTTCAGGAAATACAATTTTTACTACTAAAATTTTACTACATTTATTTCCCAGCATCAGCCCCAGACAAGGACACATTTAAAGTCTTTAAAGACTCAGTCAGAACTTTGAAAGGCCCCTAACAGCTCTGGAGATAGAGCCATCTGGGCAAATGTTCCTTCTAAAAATATCCTCAGACAGGTTTGAACTGAGTTCTTAACCTACACATAGAGTGTAGATATTATACCTTGTTTTAAATGTATATTCGAGGGGCCCCTGGAGGCTCAGTGGCTTAAGCCTCTGCCTTCGGCTCAGATCACAGTCTCAGGGGCCTGGGGTCTGCCCCACGTCAGGCTCTTTGCTCAGCAGGGAGTCTGCTTCCCCCTCTCCCTCTGCTCTCTCTTTCTGTCAAATAAATAAATAATATCTTAAAAAAAAATAAATGTATATTCGAGCTGCTAGTGGAGAAATAAAATGTTACACTGATGTACATAATATAGAAAACACTCTAGTCCTTTGATATGTAAAATTTGAAATCCTTTTTACATTGGCAGAAAGGATTTGATGTATTCAATGCACTAGATTTGATGGAAAATAAGACCTTCTTGGAAAAACTCAAATTTGGCATAGGAGATGGCAATTTGCAGTATTACCTGTACAACTGGAGATGTCCGGGAACAGAGTCTGAAAAGGTAAGTGCAGGGGCTACACCCTCTATAAACTTAATAAATGTACTTAGAAAATCCCATACTTGCTGCCCTTAGGACTGTTAAGGTGTTTTTTAGTAGCATTTAAAAAATACAGAGCTATTGTACTATAGTTCATTTTTTCTCGCTTACCTGTTCTTACTATTCTGTTTCTTCCCTCCCTTTAGGTTGGACTAGTATTACAATAGATGGATATTTCTATTTCTAGAACTCTGACATCATCATTTGTTAATATTCTATTTAATGATTCCCGGAACTGCCATTCCAAAGAAGAATAAAAGCACAACTTAAATGAAATCGATGTAGTCGGTAACAATCAGAAAAGATGAAAAAAAAAAAAACCCATATGTGACCAATAGTACATATTTCTAGCTAGAATGTTAACATTCTTTTTTCTCACTGTTTACCCATTTGTAGGAGGGATGAAAGGGCACAGAGAGCACATTCCTCTAATTTTCAGACTTTGGGCTGTCTCTTTGATGAAGAGAAGGTATTTTTCCACTCTGTAGAAAAGGGACTGTTTTTCTATGAACTGAAGAGAAGTCACAGAATTGTGTAAGAAAATCTTTGCTATTGTGTGGAGATAAACTACAGCATTTCTATTTATTAAGTGTTGGTTTGTTTGTCCGTATAACAGAATGAAGGACCCATGTGGAAAACATGAGCCTCCGTCCCCTTACACAGAATCACGGGGAGCGTTTAGGGAATGAGCACTTCCGTAACTCAGTGACGAGTGGGTGCATGTTGACGTATAGAGGGAGATAAAAATGTACCGGGGACTAGGAGGTACATTTATTTCTCCAGAAGCAGAGTTGCCAAATAAATAAACACACACATGTGTACTTTGATCTCCAGCAGGTCAGTGGATTGGTTCAAAAGCAAATCAAAAGCAGAGTTTTGTGCAAACACTGCTGAGAGTCTACACCCGTGACTGCCTAGACTTCGCTGCCACCACATAAACTCGTGTCTTCTCAGCGGCAGCAAGCAATGTCAGGCAAAGAAAATAAAAGCTCTAATGTCAAAAGAAATGCTCAGTGGAATTTATTAGTGCTATCAGGACATAGAGAGTTTGAATGTTTTTATTACTTATGCAGAATTGCACATATTCCTTTATGCGGACTTTAATTTATCATGAAAGCTGTCATGCTAATGGAAAATGTCTTATATGTAAATAAGTATTCATAATTTTGTTACTGATGGTGTTTTTACCTAGAATTTGGAAACCCGGTTTTCGCGGTGTACATATATATGTATATATTGCCCGTAGTCCAAGGGGGAGGAATATGCCAAATGAGGCCACGGAGAACCGGCCTTGACTCCTATTACACAGAATAGATACTTCTTCCTGCCTTTACTGTACCAGTGCCTAGGCTCTTCAGTCCAGAAAATTTTAATTTAGACAACATGACGGCCTTTCCTTTATGTTCTAAGTGGTCAAATGAAACCGGTCATATCTCGCATCAGGTAGGAGCTAGCAAACTATGGCCCATGAGCTAAGAATGGTTTTACATTTTTGAATGGTTGTTTGGGGGGGGGGCGGTACAGGGAGGGGAGAATCAAAGGAATAACATTTTGTGACATGGGACAACTGTAGGACATTCAAATTTCAGCATCCGTAACACTTTATTGGAACACAGCCACACTCACTTGCTTCTATCTCCTGTGGCTGCTGCATGCTACGAAGGCAGAGTTGAGTCATTCTGACAGAACTGTATGGTTCACAAGGCCTGAAACATTTACCGTCTGGCCCTTTACCGGGGG